CCCCCCCCCCCCCCCCCCCCGCCCCTCTCGAGGACGCGTGGTCTCCAACCCAAAGTATGCAAAAACATGAGCGTGGCCTCCAACCCAAGGCATGCAAAACACGAGTACGCCCCGCCCCCCTCCGTCCGCAACAAACACGCTTCCTTCCACCCACACCTTCTTGGTCGATTCCTGCAGGGTCTTGACGGCGAGATTGACGGAAGGGTGGTGCACCCGACAGTCCGGGATCCCGATGACGTTGTGCGACCCAGCGCTGTACAGCCCCAGCTCCACCCCTCGCCACTTGGAGACCGGCCGCGCGGCGAGCTTCGCCAGCGTCCTCCAGCCGTGCGGCTTCCACGGGTGTATCACGTGCGGCTCGAAGTCGGACGCGGCCTTGGCACCCCCCCGGGCACGCGCCCCGGTGGAGTGGAGGCTGTCCATGAAGGAACTGGGGGGACAAACGACAACGACACACATCATCCAAAAGAAAAAACAAGAGCGACAAACATGTGGCACGACCACGCGATCTTCGACTTGTGTGTGTACGTGAGGTGCAGTTATATGATGGTTGTTTCTAACGGCGGGGGCTCCCTAATGGAGGAAGCATCGTGGTGTTTGTTGCCCTCGTGTGTGGTGCATACACGCTGCCACCGGCGCCCGAAATACTGACGACAACTGTGTTTTGTCTCCCACACAACACCTTCAAACCAATCCAACCGGTGGTGCCTTGACGGCGTCGCGAGTGCATGACCAAATCTACCAAACGAGCACATCACGCCTATCTGATGGATTCAGAGCAGCAACATTGCACGTGCGTCACGAAAAACCGTTGTCCAGGGTTGTCTGACGATCAAGGTGCGGACTAAACCCGCAGCTCGCAGTCCACCCTTCATGCCACTCAGAGCAGAAGAACAGCTAGTGCACCACCCCCGCCCTCACTACCGTCGTCCGCCGCCTTGCTTTCCCCACAAGTGCCCCAAAATCTAACGAGAAAACCAACACTACGCGTAACCAAGTGGATGCGACCAAGCTCATCAAACGACTGCTGTACAAACACCTTGTACGCGCTCAATACCACTACTACGGAATTCAAGGTTTCTCTCTTGCCTGGAATCCACCATGATTGGAGTCTCGTCGAACCGCCGGTCGAACTCGCAGCCGGCGCACGCCTTGAAGTGCCTGCACTTGAGCTCGTCGCCCGCTCTGGGCAACGCCGCCTCCTTCCAAGCCGCGTCTAGCCCGGCCGCGTCTTCCGAAGCCGCCGCCGCCGCCCCCGCCGGGCCACCGTACGAAGAAGAGGACGGTCCTGCCTGTCCCCGCCCGGCCTTTCCCCGCTTGCCGCCGCCGCCGCCGCCGGACTTGCCGAGGTTGCCCCAATTCATGCTGGAAACCTTCTCCTTCTTTTCCTCGTAGGCCGTCTGCGTCGGAACGTTGCGTCCGTAGTAAGGAGGTGCGTGTCGAGACATGGGGAGCCGCGAGAAGTCGGGAGAGG